GCATTTGGGTTGCCTTCATTGCAGTATCCAACACTTTCATTGTGTTGGGTGTGAAGGGATGGATTTCACCCGACATTGCCTAGAGTTATGTCATGTGTAGTGTTAGTAAAATTTGGGCACCCTCACCTTACAAGCTAATTTTGCAATGTTGAGTTAGGTCCAATCCGTATTCTGAGATTCATATTCAAATTTGTGGTAAGCGATATACTTGGTGTAACATGACGCATCTCTTATGCTACTTATTTGAGTCTCCTCAATATTATATCTAGTTTTTTTTTTTTTTTTTTGTAGTCAAGCCACAATGAAGTTATGTAGTGTATGAGCCTAAAAAGAGCATGACTGGAAATCCAAATCTATTTGTTCATTCCACCCAACCGTATCATATCTTTCTCCATGCTGTTGATTTATTGTTAATATCTTAATAGAAGTAAAAGAAGTAAGGAATAATAGATTGAAATGGTAATTTTGTTTAACATACAATTTGTATTTGACTTGACTGTTAATTCTGAACAGTTGGTTGATAATTGTTGATGAAACAGGTACCACTGCCCAGATCATGTAAATCCTGCAGAATTTTTGGCCGATCTTATATCCATAGACTACAGTTCTTCTGACAGTGTCCATTCTTCTAAAAAAAGGATCGATGGGCTTGTTGAGTCCCTCTCACAAAAACTATCCACAACAATACATGCAACTCCAATTACTATAGACGACCTCTCGAAAAGTAGAAAGAGAATCAGCAAGAGGACTATAGCAAAAAGGAAAGGAGGATGGTGGAAGCAATTCTGGTTGCTTCTTAGACGGGCATGGATGCAGGTCCGGTTTTTTCTTTATTGTCTTTATACTTATCAAATGCCTAACCTGGCTATATTGCATGATAGGACCTGTAAAGGTTTTCATTATTTCCCATGAACCAATTTGATGTGTTTTAAAGGCTTGATTGAGTTATATGACAAGACATAATCACAAAAGTGATATTACTGTTTATTGTTTTCGTATCTTATATTTTGTGAAGTAAAGTTTATTTTCCGTGGAACAGCTTCAACCATATCTCCTATTTTCTTTATATTATTTTTCCCTGGTCACTAGATATTAGATAGCCTTATAATTTTGGAATGTTAAAACGATGATTTATATCTTGCACTCAGTGTAAGGAGAATGAAACTTATTTCTGTTTTATTTGATTCACGATTCTCTGGCATAGTAGGCTTCCCGAGATGCACCTACCAACAAAGTTCGGGCGAGGATGTCAATTGCTTCAGCAGTTATCTTTGGGTCAGTTTTTTGGAGGATGGGAAAATCTCAGACTTCAATACAAGACAGAATGGGAATGCTTCAGGTTTGTGATGTTCTTGATTCCTGCAAGCATATTTCTCACAGACCTGCTACTAATACATTCAATTTTTAATCTACTACGTTTGTAGAAAATAATGTCTATGCAAACTCATATATCATGTTTGTTTTGGAATAGTTGAATTTATCATGCTGAGTAAATTGTTCTTCTACGAGGTACCATTCTAGAAGTCATCTTCAGATACCATGCATTGTGGCATTTGACTATTAATCATTTGATTTTTTGGTATAGACACTTTCTGCAAGTATGTATTTGTGTTGTATGTACCTTATGCATGACTTTATAAGGCTGACGTTGTTAAAGTATTAGGAAATTTCACTTATTAACCCAAAGTAAAACAGAAAATAATCAAATGTTATGAGGATCACCAATTAACTGTGCTGGGATAGTGTTATCCTAATCTAGTAGACTCGACTACTTGAGTTCCATCTGTTTTTTGTAATTATCGCAACAAATTTTTTGAAATGATTTAAACTCTAAATTCTGAAGAATCTTGTTATTATGTTATTAAAAATGACAGTTTGTCCTGGCTAAGTTTGCCTTCCTGAATTACAAGAATGGCATTCACAGGTTGCTGCAATAAACACAGCTATGGCTGCTCTCACAAAGACTGGAGGTGTGTTTCCAAAGGAACGGGCAATTGTTGATAGAGAACGTGCTAAAGGCTCATATTCTTTGGGCCCCTATCTGTTTTCGAAACTGTTGGCTGAGATTCCAATTGGAGCAGCATTTCCATTAATGTTCGGAGCTGTTTTGTACCCAATGGCACGTCTCCATCCTACTTTGATGAGGTTAGTTTCCTTTGTTGGTTTCTGTCAGTTATATAGTTTGAGTCAATTCTCAATTTGTTTTCACTTTTTTTTTTGGGTATTAGATTGAATTTTTTCAGTATTGCTTCGAACAATGAGGTGCAAGAAAGGTGCACCATTTTTTCTTGTCATATTCCATAAATGTCATTGTGTTTTTTTTTTTGGGTAGATAAATGTCATTATTTCATTTCCAAAGATTATATTCAAAATTCCAAAGGCAGAGGGGTATACATCTACATAGTTGATGAATAAGAGTTCTGTATAAGCAGAAATAACAAGTTCAATATTTTTCATCTTTCTCTTGATCCTAGTGTCTTCAGTATAAGAAGAACCAAAAAAGAAAAATACAAGGGAAAAGAAGTTCATTCTCTATGCGCTCTCCCTTTACTCAAATCTGCTTTGTGTCGTTTTTAGGATGAGGGTTTTATTCTAGTTGATTATTTCCATCTCACTATAACTAAATTTTGACATTGTAGATTTGGGAAATTCTGTGGAATCGTTACTGCTGAGTCTTTTGCTGCATCTGCGATGGGTCTTACTGTTGGTGCTATGGTTCCAACTACTGAAGCAGCAATGGCAGTAGGCCCCTCTCTTATGACAGTTTTTATAGTATTTGGTGGCTACTATGTTAACCCGGAGAATACCCCGATTATCTTCCGCTGGATTCCTAGTGTTTCTCTGATAAGATGGTAAACACAATTCTGATTTATTAGCAATCAATGAGAGTTAACTTAACATAACATTATTGAATCGAAGTGCCATGCATCAATTGAAAGCTTAATATATGTTTCTTAGACTCTCTTACTAATGAATACCAAATTAATTTATGCACACTTTCAGGGCCTTTCAAGGACTTTGCATCAATGAATTTCGTGGTCTTCAATTTGATCACCAGCATTCATTTGATATTCAAACTGGAGAACAGGTGAGGGTAGAGCCACGATCTTTTAATTTCAACCTGGAACTAAAATTATGATAAAACTATATAAAATATTGACATATATTTTGATCATGATGTATGAGTAAGGTGAAACAACAGAAACTCGGACCATCAGTTTTTACTCAAGTTCTTATGTTTTAATATTACTGAAATAATTGTTACCAGAGTAATAAATTAGCAATGCTTCTGCTCTTACTCCATCAAATAAGCGATAAATTTAGAAATTAGCCTGGACTTACTATAATATATCATCATTCAACCATTTTTGTTTCACTTAAATTAAGATTAAATTATCATATTCCCTCAATGTCTATTGGATAACTATTTTTTGTTGAAGATACATAATCATATAAGATACATTTCTGGTTTTCCATTGTCAGTGTATGTGGAAAGATTAGCTATAATTGCCTAATTGGGTGTGCTTTCTTGAATGCTGATCCGTTCCACTTTCGTATCCCTTTCTTTCACAGGCCCTAGAGCGTCTTTCCTTTGGAAAAAGTACGATTAGAGATACGCTGCTAGCGCAAAATAGAATATTGTTATTTTGGTATTGTACCACCTACCTTCTCCTTGAGAAAAACAAGCCCAAATACCAGCAACTTGAAACAACCCCTCCCGACCACGAAAACCTGCATTTAAAACTTGAGGAGTTCAATTCGGAACTAGCTGATCAGACATATGAAGCACCAGAGGTCAGCCAAGTTGGTTCCGACGAGCCCCTTGAGTCACCTGAAGTAGACCCTGTTGGCTCTTTTATCCTAGAAGGTTTGTAATAAGCTGGGCACTACTGCTGTTCTTATCAGACATTCATATATTTATTAATCTATCTAATACAGGTGCTCAGTAGAGTGATATCTTTGCAATGGATGACCTTCAATTACCAGGATGCGTTTCCTATAGAACAAGACCACTATCACTGATATCCCCGATGCCATTATTGGACATCAAAAACACCAGCTTATGTTCACAGATTCTTACTCCTACCCAGCTGTAGTAATAAACAGTGATCATGGTTAATTTTTAGCAGTTTCATGGTTGGTTCATTTAATTAAAGCGACTATTTTTCATTAAGTGACTAGAGCATGTGGAAATTGTCTATGCAATGGATTTTTCTTGATTATGAATAGTGTTATGACCAATGATGTATGAAAATTGAGGCTACCAGAAGATTTATTTTTTATGACCCTGGTTGTAGACACTAACGTTCTAGATTTTTCTATTTCTTGCCCAATATTGGAGCATTTTAGTAATCTATTTAGGTTAGAAATAGAGTCACAAGCCCACCCTTTTGAATTTATGATTTTTTTCATTTTTCAATTTGTTCACTTTAGTCGACTAATCGGTCATTCATTACGATATGTTTTTCTTTTAGTAATTGTTAAAAAACTTTTTTTAAAAAAATAAAAAGTGACATGTTAAGTAAATTAAGCAAGCTATCATCATTTGAAGTATTAACATTGTTTTTATAATGCATCGTAGCGATTGCGGCTTTGCCTCATGATACTAGTTGATTTAAATAATTAATTTGTTTTCCATTATTATACTACTATGGTGAATTGGTATTGAATGATGATATAAGTGATTAGATAGGAAACAAATTCAACGTGATGAAAACAGAAAGATAAGAAGGTTCTTGCTTAGCGTAAGGACTATTTCAATTTATCAACACGCCACCTCCCTTTTCCAAATATATGGTGTGACGTAATCTCCAATGTCTCTTTCTTGGAAATTTTACGCCCAAACTTCCACTCCACCGTCTTGAAAAAGTTGCAATAATTGAACCCGTAACAACAACAAAACACGCACAATCATGTTTTATTTAGGTGGCAAAGTCTTATATAATCCACAACCTTCCAAACACAAATTGCAACCCATAAATTTTCTCAACTCCAACAAAATGCAAACAACATCTCTTACTTCATGCAATATAATACGCCGCACTGCACCATTCATTTCACATAATAACAAGAGTTTCATCTCTGCTTCAAAAAGAGACCCCTTTGGCCAACACTATGATGGCAAGATGGTGGATGAAAACATGATCATCCTTAGAATGCGAATCCGTGATGTCGAGATGCTTGAAAAGAACTCTAAACCTCCTTCTCATTGGACTGAATGGGAGAAGAAGTATTTTGAGAATTATGGTTCAGATGTATGTGATGCAGTTGGATTGCTGCAAAGAATGTTGATGAACACTAGACCTGGCTTGGTTGTGGGAATATTAGCTATGATCACGCTAAGCTTGCCAATGTCCATATCTCTACTCGTGTTTCAACTGATGGAGTTCGCTAATGCCTCAATGCTAACTTTTTCATCTATCTAAATTTGGGAACGGCCAAATATATCAAACGAAGAAAAATAAATCAGAATTTAGTATTAAACATTTTGTCAAAGGTGGCACGGATCATAGAGCTGCTATTGTGTCACAATTGTTACTTCTTGTTCATATTTTTATTCACCAATTCCATGTATCAATTAGGGTAAAAAAAATCATAATTCTCATAGCATGTTTTTATACTTAAGTTTTCATAACATTTTGTGTATTGAAAAAAACAAATAACATTTAAAAAAAAATATTTGCAAGTAATGTAATTTTCCCAAATCATTTGCAAGTAAATATACCTGTATTTTTTTAAATAAATTATAAACATAATGATAAAAACTAATTTTTTAAATAGAACTTATTTTAATAATTTTAATGTTAAAATTCTGAGTCGAATTTAAATATAGAACCTTAAGATCAAAGTTGTAAGAATCGATTTTTTACCTTGACTTGTTTTGTTTAGATAAAATCGAAACATAAAATTGAAACGTAAAATTATAAAATTTACCTCATATTAAAATAATGTTAAATATATATATATGAATCAATAATTAATTTTTTTTAAACTTTAGTATAAATAAAAAATATACAATATTACTATAATAAAGTGTAATATTAACAAATTTGTATCAAACTACCTAAATTACCCATCAAATCATAAAAAATAACATCCAAAACATTATCTTAAAAAACAAGAATTTCATAAGTTTCTCAAATTCAAAGAAATAAATATTTTCATCTTCATCTTTAACTTAATCAAAAAGTTCAATTCACTTACAACATCATCTTCGTTAGTGTATTCATATTCAACTTGATTAAATTTATATCTATATGATAAAGACTCTTCAATACTATAACTAAGATATGAATGTGAATAAAATTAAAAAGTATGAGAGAAGTTTTCATGGGGGTAAAATAAAAATTGTGTTCTCAAAATTTGACAAAAAAGGTAAAATTTGGTCAAAGAGTAAAATTCAACGATTTTACACGATTTCATCAATTTCAGAGCGATTTAAATCATTTAAAATCATCTCAGAATACGGTTTTACATAAAAAGATTTTCACCTACGATTTAACACGAAATATTAACCTTGAAACGTAAAATCTAGGGAAAATACCCTTTTTGGTCCTATATGTTAATGCCAAGGTTCATTTTGGTCCATTAACTTAAAAAAGCTTCATATTGGTCCCTTAATTCTTCAAAACGCCTCATTTTAGTCCTTTTTGTCTAATTAGCGACGAAAAAAATAAGAAATTCGTAGCTAAATTCGCCGCTAATTAGACGAAAAGGACTCAAATGAAGCGTTTTGAAGAGTTAAGGGACCAATATGAAGCTTTTTTAAGTTAAGGAACCAAAATGAACCTTGGCATTAACATACGGGATCAAAAAGGGTATTTTGCCTAAAATCTATAGAGTTTAAATTTTAAATCGAGATTTTAACAACCTTGCTTAAGATAATTAAAAGAGCCCCTGACAATCTTATTCTAACACTTTAATTTAAGATTTCATATTGATTTTTTAACTAATAAATATTACTTTTAGTTTCTTCAAAAACATCTATATTGTCAAATTTATACATTCTATTAACTTTTAATTTTAAATATATTATGCAAGATAATATTGGCGAGTGTTGATCAGTCACCATTTGTGCTATAGTTCTATCGCTTATTCGTCAAAAATTTAGGAAAATTATAACACTTTGTTCTTAGTTAGTAGTTGTTTGAGTCATTCTTTATTTAGTTACTGTTTTAAGAATTTTAGTTTATTTTGACTATTTTTACGCTTTTTGGTAGTGTCATGGTTGAATACAGGTTCATGAAGTCAAAGGACCACGAAACAGACTAGAGCAGTTGAGTAGATGAAAGAAACAGAGAAAAATCTTCAAGTCTGTCCATACGCATACCATACGCATATGGCCTGGTGCGTGGCTAGCCCTTACGCGTTCCATACAAGAATCAGCAAAATACATGCAAAAATCCATTATGCACATACGCGTATGATACGCATATGGGTCAATGCAGGCAATTTAAAGGCGTTATGTCCGCGTATAAGGACTCGACTTCCCATAGACATACGCATATGATACGCGTATGGAGGCCCGAATTTGGCTGAAAAATTCAGTGCACGTTATAAAAGTCAGGGGCGCGATTTCTCAAGGGTTGGACGGTTTTTGACGACAGAGAACACTGTTGAAGGCTGAAGAACTCAGATTTATGCTTGGAATCAAGATTTTTATGAGCTGTTGCAATTGAAGACCTCTTTTCTTTCATTTATCTGTAATGTATACACTGAATACTATGTCTTTCGTTAATATTATGAGTAGCTAAACCCCCCAATGCTAGGGAGGTGTCCCTGATTCAGATCTGTAATGACTTTGAGTTGTTATCTACAATGACAATATTATTTTTCATAGTTAAATTTATTCTCGTGATGTTTCTAATACTTTCTCTTTCGGACCAATTGAGGTTGATATATGATTATCAATTAGGCTAGACCGCAGTTGGTAATGCGTTTGTGAGAATATTCTATAGTAGATATCACCTAGGACTAAGGATACCCTATAGAAACCAGATTATTTTTTATTTAACAATGCTTAATTTCATCGGTAAGTTTCTATGGACATTGGGCTTAGGATGAAAGATAGAAAGTTTTCTCACTAAGGACTTAGGAGTAAACACCCTTAAAAACCGGTAATTGATTATTTAAAATATATCATTGCAGTGATAAGTCATAGTTGTTACAGGAATGAATCACACACCTCTCCTAGCATGTTACTCATCTCTGTCAAAACTGTTCATCACATCATAGTTACTTTATTCACAATTATTTTCATAATTTAGCAGAACAAATCCAAACACTGGTTTTTGTTTAATTGACCCATGCATTGAACTTGATATTTATACACAGTCCTTGAGATCGACATTTGAGGAATTTATCCGTTATTACTACAAAGGCAAAAATAATATACTTGTTATTTTTTTGATCAAGTTTTTGGGGACTGCCAAAATATAGAGTTTAATTGTAGTTCAATTGAAATTTTGTTGCTCGTCAACTAAAATTTTATTTTCAGTTTTATTGTTATTATTTGTGTTATGTTACTACTAATCTGTGTCTGATATATTTATGTGAGGAGAATCCTCAGCTAATTTTGTTTTTTGATGCAGAAGTCGAAAGAACTTTTCACGCAAGGTGTAGACAAGATTGAATAGCAAGACTGGCCTCCGACAAAGAACATTCAGTTCATACATAGTCAGAGACGGAATTAGAAGAGGAAATACCAATGAGAGAAAATCCACCGGCACCTGAGAGGCTCCTTGGTGATTAGGGTGGGACAAATGCACCAGTTGATCGATTGACAATTGTAAACCAACCGGTGAATGTGCCAAATTTTCAACTGCACCCGAGCACCATCATTCAACTTGAGAGGGGGTCTTTCTCTGGAAGGGTAAATGAAGACGCTAACAAGCACTTGCAAATGTTTCTGAGCATAACCTTGAAGATTGATGGGCACACTGATGAGGCGAAGAAGTTGAGAATATTTCCTTTAACTTTAGAGGATGAGGCTGGAGAATGGTTTTATTCCCTTCGGGCTGGTAGTATTACTTCTTGGGAAGAGATGAAAACAACTTTCTTGAATGAGTACTTCCCAGCATCCGTGTTCATGAGAAAAAGATATGAAATTCTCAACTTCAAGCAGAAAGAGGGTGAGTGATTAAGAGATGCTTATAAAAGATTCAAAAGACTCCTAGTGGCTTATCTTACTCACAATTTGGACCAGACTGAGCATATGCAAATGTTTGCTAATGGTCTTAGAATCAAGACAAAGTAGCTAATTGACACAACAACTGGTGGCTCATCTATTTTTTCAACAGCTACTGGTATTAAGAAGATAATTGAAACAATTACTGCAAACGAGCATTTGGAGTTGTATGACAGGGTTGCAAGCAAACCAGAGGGCGTGATTGATTTGAAGTTGGAAGTCAACAAACAAATCAGAATTGAAGAAACAATTGATGCAGAAATAGAGAAAAAGCTAAAGGCATTGAAGTTAGGTACTCAACAGGTAGCTCAGGTTCAACAAGTACAAAAGATGGTGTGTGAAATTTGTAGTGGACCATACATGACTGACTGTATATTGTTTTGCAACTCCACAATAAGTTGAAGAGATAAAATTCTCGAAGAAGAATAATCCCTACTCAAATACTTACAATCTAGGGTGGAAGAATCATCCTAATTTCTCCTGGAAAGATCAGCAAGGGAATGTCTAAAATCAACAACAAGCTCCACAAAAGGCAGAGCGGGAGGTAGCCATTGAAAAGATGGCTTCCCACAATTCTCAATTCCAAGAAGAGACAAGGAGAAATCACATGAATAACATATCTTAAATAAAAAAATTTGGAAGTTCAAGTGGGATAAATTGTACAACAGTTATCTCTGCAAGCACTAGGCACCTTTCTGAGCTCCATTGTGACAAATCCAAAAAGTTATGAGAATGTTAATGATGTCACAACAAGAAGTCAGAAGGGGTCAGAAGATGAATTAGAGAAGGCATCAAAGGATGACTATGTAATATAGGTAGATCTGGAAATGAGAGAAAACAAGAAAAATTCGTAAAAAGTTATACCACCTGTGAAGCCAACTGAAGAAAAGAGTGCAAAGGAGACTAAACCGGTGATCATGTTACTGTGTCCTTCTCGAGTAGAAAAGAAGGACCCAAAAGAGAAAGATTTTGAAAATTTTGTCACAGTTTTCAAAAGTTAGAGGTCAACATGCCTTTCTTTGGAGCTTTAGAGAAAATGCTCATGTACCAAAAATTCATGAAGAATGTACTGTCTAAAAAGAGACCAATAGGATATGGGTCGGTACCCGGTGATGAGGAATTCTGTGTAATCTCGCTAGAGCGGAGAATCCCACCCAAGCATAAGGATATTGGATTGGTTGAAATACCTTGCACTATAAAAGACATAACTTTCAAGAAGGTTCTGATTGATTCAGGTGC